AGTCGCTGGTGCAACGTTCGATTCGCTGGCGCAACGCTCGGATCCAGCGATTCGCCAGCGAATCGCTCGATTCGCAAACTATGACATCGGCCTTAGGAAAAATGGCAATTTTGTGAAAATGGTCCCATTACAGTCATCATACTGTAGTGTGCAGGGTAGGCCAAAGTTATTGTTTCCAAGACATTACCACAAAATACCCGGTATTAGCTTATTTATTTGTAAAGTTAAGCAAATCAACTTTGTAAACGTGTTGACCCCACTAATATCACAAAACAAAGCTAGGTTGGTTTAAAATCTTTCAACTATTACATTAATACAGATCTTCAAATGAAGAGGGAAGGCGTGCACGACGGCGCGAAGGTTCCACACTCAAAATAATTTCAAATTTTTGTTGTGCTCTAGGGCGGAAGTGGTGTAGTGGCAAGTGGCACGCTTACCACGCGAGCGGTCCGGGGATCAAATCCTGGGTCGTGAGTCGCCCGGGCCAACCAAGCCTTCCATCCCTCCGGGGTCGGTTAATTGGTACCAGACTTGTCTGGGAGGATAAAAACACTGACTTGTACATCGGCTGGCCCCCGCAAGTCATTGTATAGGCCACATCGCATTCAAACGCCACTACGAATGTACAAATGGAAGTAGAATGCGTGCCGCATCCCAAAAAGGGATTGATCAACGGCAAATGCTTTATCCTTTTTTATCCTTTAAGGAAGAGGCTTTTAGTTAGACTTTTGAAGTTTTTATTGCTCTTGCCTCCGATCCACCATGCTGCAAATCCAGCTGAATTCGGTGGGAATTCTAGGTAACACTTGTTGGAAGACAGTGAACACGAAAAACCCTTCCTTGCAAGGTTTTGCCGTATGACTATTCGCCTCTAATGAAGTGTTCAAAGTTATGCACTCATGTGTGTCCATGACAAAGATTGGTTCCTAAGAGTATCCAGGGTTTTTTTACATCACTTTTTTCTGGCGGTACGATAGTAATAAAGGGTGTTAGAAACTGGACTTCCTTGCAACGCTGGTTCTCATTTATTTTTTACTTATTCGAAGCGTCCATCGGAACGCATAGGGCCTGTTCAACCGGCGTTGAATGCAGCGAGCCAGAACGCGTTGTCGGTTCATTTATGGGGTACCACAATGTGGTCGTTTCACTAATTTTGAGAACTTTATGATGTTTGGTTTCGATAAGAAGAAGACATTGTCCTCCATCACGTTATGCCCAAAAAAGGAAGAGAAAGTGAAGAAAAAGGAAAAAGTGGGTTTGGCTGCGCACACTCGCTATTACCATATTTGTCATGTAGACTAGATTTAAGAGGCACACTCCACGTTAAACTTGGGCATTAATCTTAGTCACTTACGTCATTGCGCTATACCCAATTGGTGCCCTTCATCTTACCATTTAACCCTTTGACGACAATGGCACCCACCGGTGGGTGCCACTATGTTCGCCGCGTGGGACAAACAACCCAAGGTGCGGTGCCCCTAAAAAATTTCCTTCTTCGCGCATTCAAAACATTTGCAACCCTTCCCCCCCCCCGGTAACTATAAGCAAGTTTGATAATATCTGTGACTAGCACGGCTTACAGAAATGTTTATGAAGAGCTAATCTGTATGGGTTTTTAGAATGTGATATTAGCCCACCAGCATGTGAATTGGGGTTTTCATTATTAGGCTGGAAGATTGATTACTAATCAGGACTTCTTCGTCTTCTCATAGCCCTCAGATACATTTAAGGGATTCGAAGTGTATTGAAAATTCTCCTGGACACTTGAACTTTCGTAGGCTTCCCCTTTGAAACCAGAATTTTCCTTCCAAATTTGGAATTCTATTGAAAACAATGTGCAGTGTAAAAGCCTAGAACTGCAGTTATATCTGGTATACTGCTAAAGTCAAAAATTCTACAGAAAAATCTTGGAGGACAATTTTGCCAGTTGTGAGCGAGAGTTGGGCGCGCCAAAAACAGGCGTGGTCCCACGAGCAAGCTACGTGCAAATCCGCATTGTCGTCAAAGGGTTAAAAGAAGGGTACAGTCGATATCTCGAAGTCTGATTGGGCGTGTCACCGGAAATGACGTGGCAGCCACCGCACTTGATAGATGTTGTGTGGATAAAATACTCCGCCAGATATCAGCAAAGCGTGTTGGAAGCAGCTTATCCGCGCAACTTCTATCAAGTGCGGTGGCTGCCACGTCATTTCCGGTGACACGCCCAATCAGACTTCGAGATATCGACTGTATTTAATGAGTAGGGCGCAGTGATTAAGGGATCCCGCTAACATGTCTAACATGGAATGAGTTATTCGAAAAAATTCTGCTGTCCAAGCTTTACGACTTACAATTAGGCGATAGGCAGAACATCTGTATCTATTTATCTGTTTATTTATTTGTCAATTTACCTATTTGTAACGCTGATTAAGGCAAATCTAGTAAAGGTAAATCCCCACAATTCCCCACGCCCAGATCTGGGGGTTGAATACCGAATCGAATTTCGCAGAAGTTAACGAAGTCGTAATCCCTCTGGGGTAGGTTACCTCGTACCACACTCTTCTGAAGAATAAAAACGCGTACTCAGACATCAAAAGGTCGCTTGCAAGTTGCTGGGTACCCCATCGTTTTCAAATATCACTGAATTCTGAATGGAACGTGATGTACCCTGAAAGGGATTAACTAGCGCCGAAAGCTTTATCTTGTCCTCCATGGCTGTTTTTTTTCGTATGCTCTATCAAGGCTTAGTCACCGATGGCGCGTATTTTGAAACTGCCACATAATGGCGAAAAGCTGTCCCTGTGGACTAAGCCTTGGAGGAGCAGACGAACAGAGCGCCGCGCCCCCCCCCCCGAACCCGAGTTTCACCCAAATTCGATTTTCTAAAGAAATGCCAGTTGGTCTATGAACATTATTGTTGTATAATAATTAAACAAGAATTCGCGCGATCCATCCCCTATCGTGATGCGCCACGCATCCTACTTTCATTGGGATGCGGGTGGTCTGAAAAATAAAAAGAAAGCAGGAGAAATCTCCGATTACGTTTGGAATGAGGACCTCCTTATTTCAGCCGCATTCCACCTTGGGATAGAGAAGGGGCGTGTTGGACGAGTTTCACGAACCTAGCTCCAGTTGCTCCAGTGCCAATGACACTGAACCGCAATGGAACCGCTGCCCCAAACGCTTTTCTCGCAGCGTCACGTGGTAGCCAGGGGGCGGGGTCTGCGGAGGAAGGTGTAGATTGCGGTCGAGCGTGCTTCTGGAGCCGTTGCGGCGCACTTCAAGCAAACATCAACGCTTGCCCGTCTGTCTACTACGCCGCGGGGCAAAACAGGCAAGCGTGCGTAATTCTGGACCGTGCCTTTTAGTACGATTTGGCCTATAAAATGAATTGCGGCAGGTTCAGTTTGTGTTTTGATTTTCCAGAAGAGCCTCGTAACAACTGGTTGACCTTGAAGGGATGAACAGCTTGGCTGACCTGGATGAGATTTTATCCGGGATTTGATCCACGGACCGTGCGCTGATAAAACGCCCCTGTTCCTGGATGACCATCTCGACAAGCTACTGCAGATAAAATTGTTCGTTTTCAGATGGGAAGCGTTCACAAAGTTCGGCGCCGCCACGGCTACCGAAATGACTGGGAAGAACTTTGACAAATGGCTGAAGGACGCCGGTGTGCTCGACTCAAAAAACATCACAAGTACCATGACCGGCATTGCTTTCAGTAAAGTGGCAGGGTGGGTTTTTGTATCTTTTCGTCCTTCAATACACTGCAATATTACCGTCGGAAACCTATCGGGACCTTTCACCCTATCATGGAGTTTTCTTAACCTTTCAGTTACCCTCCAACTTTATCAATAATCATGGTAAATACCTTCCCCATATGACTCCCTATTTGGGTAACTGGAGTATTTCCTAGGAATCCGAAATTACAGTATGTCAGGATGGTCACTTATAAATCAATTTTCAGTCCAAAAAAGAAGACAAACTTTGAGGAAACCAAAAAGGTCATCATCGGTGTAGCAGAAGATCGTGCTCGACAATCAAAGAAAACCGTGCAGGTTAGTATACTTTCTATTTCAGTTCTGGAAATTCACTAAAACGAGGAGAGAACCTGAAGGGCCGATAAAAGCCCGGCTTTTTTTACCAGAATTGAAAGGAATCCCATTCCGCCAAACAGATTGTCTGCCACTTATTCTCTCATCCAGAATAAGTTAATTGTGCTGGCCTACGGGACAATACTCAACAGTTTGATGGCTCTAGATATCAGTTCCGAAGAGCACCAAACAAACTTACGCAAAAGCACCCACATTCCAGACCGACAGTCAGGTAGGATTGGCGGGGACACGTGGAGCACATGGGAAGCAGGCCATGTGTAGCGCGGCCCAGCCCGACATAATCACCGCGCAGGCTTATTAGAAACAAAAATTAATTTTCTCTGATTTAATTTTAATTACTTTCCCAAAAGTCAAATCATTTCTCTGTATCAGACATATTATAACATTTTACCTGTAAATACTGATGAAAACATCAGTAAGTTTTGATTCTGCGAACATGGACAAGAATACATGAGATACACACGATCAACGGCGGCTATGCAATGTGAACCTCGCAACTGGGCTGACTCTTATACTAGTGAGTGGGCCACGCCTAGCTTTCACGCATGTCCAAGTGACTGCTCTCACCCCCGCCATCCCCACCCACCCCCCCCCTTCCATAAGATTGCATCCACTCCCCTGCTTAGGAAACCATTCCGCTGATTTTTTTCGACACTACTTTGTACGCAGGCAGCAGTCCACTCATATAGCATTTTGTTCAAAAAATGCAACGTGTCCCACCTACCCTGTAACAGGGCCCCGTGGCAGCCAATCTCGCTCGGGGGGGGGGCAGTCGCCGCGCGCCCGCGCGTGCCGGCAAAGGAAATTCGTGAGCACACGGGGAAAGTCCCAAAGTACGAGGAGGTATTACGGTTAGTCTCCATCGCAACAGTGTCCGCTTTTTTTCAACCAAAAAATTTTCATCCAAATCCTCATGCTTTTACATCGATCATATACCATTCGAAAGAGAATTGTCTGCTCTACAAAATATCGTGTTCTTCTTCCATCTATGTTCCATGGTTTTCAAATTTGAGGCCTGCGAAATGGGAGGTCCCGCCGACAAAAATTGACCAAACCGACAACTAGCTCTAACTTTATGTTCCCTTCGGAGAAATCAATCAATGATGTACCCTCTACTTACTCATGACCTCTTCTGAACATTCCACCCTTAGGTTGCCGAAAAAGGTTTGCCCTGTTTCTTTTCGAATTGGCCGACCGATAAGTCCATGGCAATTTTCAAATTGAAATTCTTCCTCTGAAACGCTATTGTTTTATATCAACTGGTGTATCTTTTGTGAGCACTTCTTCTGCTCTATTCGCTCATTTGTTTTGTTTTGATGTTTGTTAGGAATTAGCTCGAATTTTAGGGTTTAGGAGTAAGGTGCTTTGTCCACAAAAGTGACCGCATTTCTTTGAAAGAAATTATCCTTGAGGAGATGAGAGAAACCAACAACCCAACCAGGCGTACATTCCTAACTTAGTCACGAATTGTTCTTTAAATTCTACTAGTTTTTAAATGTCTCGGCCGTAAAAAAATTTCGACCCAGACCTCAGGTAATGGTGCTCAACCGGCGAGTTCTAGTGAAAAACCGGTCTGGAAATGGAATGATGCGACTTGTTGGGAAACCTAATAGTGTAATGTTTAGAAGAGGTCATGCATAAGTAGAGGGTACATCATTGATTGATTTCTCCGAAGGGAACATAAAGTTAGAGCTAGTTGTCGGTTTGGTCAATTTTTGTCGGCGGGACCTCCCATTTCGCATGCCTCAAATTTGAAAACCATTGAACATGGGAATTTTTTTTGTGCGGGGCATAAGAGAAGACACGCATATTTGTAGAGCAGACAATTCTCTTTCGAATGGTATATGAACTCGCTGTAAAAGCATGGGGATTTAGATGAAAATTTTTTGGTTGAAAAAAAGCGACACTATTTATGAGACAACCTAATACATACATAACCTTCATACATACATTACTTGCACTTGCTAAGCCGCGCGCGGCGACTGCCCCCCCCCCGAGCACATTGTGCCTAAGCACTGTATTATGAAAATGGGAGGCAAAAACCGCCAGTGGAAATTGGTCACTCCAGATACTTGACCGAGAATCAAAACAGTAAAAGCAGGTGAGGACGAAAAACGACGGGAAAGCCGAAATGAGTCGCCACCATTGATTGTAGATCAAACAGAACTACCGTACTTTGGAGGGATGGAAGAGTGAAGATCAAAAGGAACTGGCTCGGGATCTAAAGTAGCACAAAGAGTGTTCAAAAATATGTCTTATACTCCCTGACTTTTGACGCGAAATTTGAACTCTTTAGTAAATCTGTCAATTGCCATCATGTTGTCAAGTAAGCTAGCTTTTTTCAGGAAGAGTTGGACGCAATTACGGAAAAGCTCGCCCAACTCGAAGCGCCGACGCTGAACAGTGCTGCTAAACCAGACGCGAACGGAGTCTACCAACGACTCACCGATCACAAGAAATACACTGGTGCCCATAAAGAACGATTCGATGCCGAAGGAAAAGGTGAGCATTGTATCCCTGATTGAAAAACGGAATTGTCAACTAGTGAGTGGAAGCTCAAGTACCCATTAAAGGGTTGTTCATGCCTACGTCCGCTTTACGAGTTTGGCATTTGGATCCTGGTAATTTCGCCGCAGTCTGCGGGGGGGTGAGAATAAACTGGTGGGAGGCTAAAACTCCTGCTGAACGGTATACATGAAAATTGGAAGGGCGCAAAGTGATTACAACGATCCCAGGCAGCCATCCAATCCAGCGAGGTGACTGTCGACGATTTGCGCGACCCTCCTGATTGATGCTTATACTTCCCTTCCACGGGATTTCAGACCAGCAATATTCTAATTTCCAAATCGTGCAAGGCTAATAACGCTGCCTAATTCAATGACGTACGAAATACGCATGATATGGAGGTAGCAGTAGGTTTACTGTACTGTGGAGGTGCTAAGAAAATCGTGATCGTGTACAGTGGTACTTCTGTTTCCCCGGCTTGTAAAGTGGTACAACCTGAGTAGTGACATCCGGAAAAATCGTATCATGTCAGAGGAAGAGAAGTCCGATGTTTGATAATGCGTCGGCGGGTAACATTCAGTGGCGATCGTCTACTTCGGTACTGTCAACGGTCGTTTACATGGACAACACATGACTTGCTTCTTCCTTCCTCTAAAATAGGATGGAAAATTCAGTCAATTGTCCGAAAATCGGAAAACGGAATATATCTTGTCAATGAAACTGGAAATCATGCTGACGACTCTTCTTATTCGTCGCCTTTAAACTCCCCTTCTGGAAAACCAGATGTGCGTCGAGTGCAGACCACACACCACAAGTGACGACGGCCTCCAAGTAAATCTGGTTACTAGTGGTTCATAGTGATAGCTGATAGTTGGTAAATGATAGTTGTAATTAGTGACAACTGATAGAATAAACCGACCTAATCATTTCATTGGAACATTAACATTTTTGTGGAGGCCGTCGTCGTTTGTGGTGTGTGGTCTGCACTCGACGCGCATCTGATTTTCGGAGTCAGAGGGTACCTTGACCTCGACCCTAAATGACACGTGATTGAGCTAACACGAAACGGTGGTCCGCTCTCATCCTCTTGCATCATCGCCAATGAACAAGTTGGTTTATTGACTGGTTTATTAATGGTTATAATTACGCTCGCTCTACCTGGGTATCAATTTATTTTGACACTGAATATCCACTGAACAAATCTCTACAAAATATGCTGGAGAGCAAAAAAGCAATCCAGAGCTCGAATCCTATCTGAGATCTTTATGGTTGGGATCTACGATGCAGAGGATGTGACGTTGCTGACTACTACTGCGTACTGCTTACCGTCCATGGTGTAGCCATCCCTGAGAACTCGGAGGGGTATACCAAATAGGTGCTGATAATCGCCGTTCTTAAATCGTCTCATTGTCGGCAGATTTTTCTGCTCCTTTTCAGAATGGCCCATTTGAGTACGATGCTGCTGACTCATGCTTGCAGCGGGCTTTTATTGAGCACCAATCTCATGTTTCGTAATGCTCGTCTCGATAAAGGCAAAAGCAAAAAAGAGCAGTGGCGCAATTGGGATTCCCTGTGGGCGATGAACGCCTTCGCTTCGGAAATAAGCCAGGGTATGTGTGGTATTGCGAAACCTCAGATACGAAGAGAACATGGAATTTAAGCTGGCTGAGCTTTGTGAGGGAATGAACAAGTCATGGCAAAGCTACGGCTCCTTGTAGTGCTACGGTATGAATTCGTCGGCAAGGTATTGGTGCAGAAATGAAAAAGAGGGAAAAGTGGAGGCGATAAGGAATCAGGTATCTAATGAGGGGAGATATCCGTTGAGAGGAGCTGGAACTACAATAT